CGGAACACTGTGGGTTCGATTCCCATCCCTGGATACTTTTATTTTTCCGTTTATCATTACTCTTCACAATTCATCCTTTCATACCTCATTCCTAAGGTTAGAAATAGTCGTTATTTCTCCTTAAAATAAATTTTGATTTTTCGTTGAAAAGAAACACATGCGGTATAATTTTCAAATGTCGTTTTACATGTATGTGTATATTTTGAACTTTTTTTATGTGTATGATGTATATGTATGTTTTATGATCTATAAAAATAAAGTTCGCCTCTCCCGTCAATAATATACGCCCAAACTATGTGCCAACCGTCTCCGTAAACTGGCGTACTCGGTTTGGTGACAAAGCTAAAGACTGGTAGTTCAATATCTAATTTGTATATTATTTAGTCAAAATTCGAAACTATTTTAAAGGCGTAAGATTCTTTTTGAAATTAAACAATTTTTCTGCCCTTACTGCAATGGAAAAATTAAAGGGAGGGCCTGGCTCATCAGTGGTGAACCCTCCCAGCGTTTTCGCCAGTTTAATCTACCTAAGTAGTAGTACCTAAGTGGTAGATTAAACTGGCGAAACCGCTGGGAGGGTTCACCACTGATTAGCCAGGCCCTCCCTTTAATTTTTCCATTGCAGTAAAAATTGTTTCATTTCAAAAAGAATCTTACGCCTTTAAAATAATTTCGAATTTTGATAACAGATGGCGCGCTAGTGCATCATATTATTTAGAGTCGAGGAAATTATATAAAAATACATTAATGAATTTCTATAATCACAACCGCTAGTACTAATACAAAATAGTAATAGAAATTGTTTAATTTTAAAAGAATCATTCGCGTCTAAAATAGTTTCAATTTTTTTATAACGTTTTGGGGTTAAGACATTATTTACTCGGGTCATTCAGCGCTAGTGAAATATTCACAGATAAAACATATTCATAGAGTTATTTGAGGAATTGCTTATACTCCTAAACACAGCCCACACCTTTTGGTTGGATGGAATTGAGGACTCCCTCATCACCTGGAAGAGGACACTTGTACGGTGGAGAAAACTCCCCGGCTGATAATTTGAATTTGTAAATATTAATTCTCCTTTAAATTATTATATGATAAGGTAAAATAGCCTAGCTGCGAAAGCTCTAGGCTTTAGAACCTGATGTCCCTGGTTCGAACACGCTTTTCGCTATCTTTTTATTTTTTCTAATTATTTTTATGATCTCTTCCTTATTTTGTAAATATTGACTGAGTTGTAAATAAATTTGTTTTAATTGTCAAAAAAAAATTGTCACACCTTTTCGGTTATTTATAAGCTTGGAAGAGAGAAGCCTAAAATATTATTAAATATTATAAATAAAAAAGGCATATCCTGACCCCAGGAGCACATGTGCTTTTTAGATGGCAGAGCGCCATCTGGTGGAACAGAAATCAACTAAACATTGATTTAGCCTGTTCCCTGATATTTGGCTAATCAAAATAATTAAATAAATTTGCAAAAAAAAATTTTTTTCTGAAAAACAATTCAATGATATAACAACACAAAAGGAAAGGCCGGTAATACGAAAAAAAATCAAGAAATTATAGAATATATATTTTATAAGAACAGAAATGTGTGTAATTTGCATATCTCGAATCATATCTACATAGTTACAGGTACATTCATTAAAATAATATAGTCACGACGATGATCCAACACACCTAACCATCACGATATAATCCGAAAATAAGTAAAACAAACCCACGACGATAATCCAACACACAACTAACGGTATAATCCAACACAAGAGGTACAACACCCAGGTTGGGGTCAGGTGCCAAAGTCACCGCGGCTCATCAACATTCACCCGTACTACCGCCCAGTGAATCACCATATAACCGGATTCCGCCTTTGTTGACTTGGATGGGCCTCGTTAAAAAGAAAATGGACTTAATTTTCCATCAACGCCACTCGCATTCAAGACACACTCCCATAATCGGATTCCGAGGTGCTATAGCTCCTTGGTCTGCTGCTATCCGGGCACTGATTGGATAAATCCAACATTGCTTGACCAACCAACAGCTTGATTTGTTGTGGCAACCCTCAAAAAATTGTTATACAACTGTTTATTAATACAAAGCAATAACGCGCCATCTATACACATAAAATGAAAGGATTTAAAAGCACGAATGTTTCTTTTATACATAATACAAACTTCTACTGTCCTTACTGCGATGAAAAAATATATTAGGAGGGCTTGACTCATCAGTGGTGAACCCTCCCAGCGGTATCGCCAATTTAATCTACCAGACCGCTTCTCAGAGCTCTAATACCGCATTGGACGATTCTGCTTATATACGCAGCACTGAAGGGTAGAATCTCAGAAATGGTTTTCAAGAAGACTATGAACATAAGTTTATAGGACATAGGACTGTTTATAAAGGCGGCAAGTAGCGCATGGTGGTTTAAAGAGAAATTAGAAAAGAGCGCTAAAAAATCTCAATCGAGCGCAGCTAGCAAAGCTTGTTACTATACATATCTTTTTTGCTTTAAATTGATTATATATTTAATACGAAATATAAATTTTTGTAAGAATTATTTATTTTGTTATATGTATATATCATCTCTCAAAAGTCTAGATTTGCCGTTGTAAAACTGTTAAAAATATATATGACCTTTTTGTAAAATATATTTACATATACACATTATATAAAATGGCGTACTTGGATCTGTAAAGGGAAAAAAAAAAACAATTTTTTTCTCAAAATATTTCGAGAGATTGCTCCCTCTTTATAAATTTATTGCACAATAAAGCAATATTGCACTGTGCAATAAATTTATAAAGAGGAGCAATCTCTCGAAATATTTTAAGAAAAAAAATGATTTTTTCCCCCTTTACAGATCCAGGTACGCCATTTTATATAATCCTAATTAATGGATCGCCTTTTGACTCAATTATACACATTAGCTAGTGAAAAACAATTCACACAGAGCGGGAAAATCACGATCAATGAATAAGCCATAAAACCAGTTTAGTCAAATTCCAACAAATGCTAACCGTTATTTATTCGAATTTATTCAAAACTGGTAGTGGTCTTTTAGATGAACTATATTTGAACACTCTTGGCGTTAAGAAGATGACAGAAATGTATTGATTTTACACACACAAAGCATTATTAAGACCATCCGTCTTATACAGATTCACTACAGGAAGAATGAAGCATAGATGGAGCTCCTATGTATTGATTTTATACAATTAATAAATGCTTTTTATATGCAATTATTTAAAAGGAAGCGATGTCTTTTCGCACATTGAGTACCATGTTGACAATGAATACCATTATGACCACTGATTTTTACCGTTTCTCTACACGGAAACAGAATATTAAGAACAAAATAAAACTGACTTCAAAATGATACATTTTCGCAATATTTTCAAAATCTTTAATTTCTACAGATCAACGCATGTCTTCTCTACTTTTGTAATTCTATGTAGATTTCATGTTAAGGTGGTGTAAATATAAATACATGGAAGGTTTAAGAAATATTTTTCAAGAGTCAATATATAAAGGTCTTAATTAAACGAAAAAACATGGTGAAGGAAGACGAGTTTCTTTTATTGATGCATAGGTGCAAGCTTTCGGATAAAAACCCTTCAACAGGCAAGAAATGAAGCGCGACTTATATATTCTCGCCTGTTGAAGGGTTTTTACCCGAAAGCTTGCACCTATGCATCAATAAAAGAAACTCGTCTTCCATCACCATGTTTTTTCGTTTAATTTCAAATCAGGAAGATTCCTTTATCTATATATAGAGGTCTGTTAGATTCTTTGCATTAGAGTCGCCCATGATATATCATGAAACCATTGCTATACCCGGTATTTCCTGGAGGGTGATCTCTCATCAGAGACGCTCTGTCATGTTGGGTCAAGTCAAGAGGAGTCTTTCAAACTAAACAGAGATTCTGATCAGAGACCAATTCCAGGAGACACCGGGTTTATCCATGTTATCAGGATATGGCCTCTCATGAGAAGCTCTACTGTATTGTCACGTAGAAAGATCAGGAAATATACACACACAAAGCTTTATTAAGACCAGCGGTCTTATACAGATTCACCACAGGAAGAAATAATAGATGGAGCTCCTATACTCCAGGCAGCGCAGCACCCAACAACAGCCTCCAGGTCTGACACATGTCCAATGGCCACACGTTCCTTCGTGCATACGTCATGGTTAGCGAATCACTGAACAAACGAGTGTGGAATCAACCTCTTTCTGGTCTTCGTTTATCTCGTCCAAATGGACTACGGTATTCGGCGATTCAATTAATCTCCTCCGAACGGTGACTGCGGCCTTGTAGAATTTATATAAACCAAAAAGAAGACCTTGATCAAACGTCATTGCATTCATCCAGTTATAAATTTGTTGACATCAGAATGATAAGACACTTTTTATCAAAACTTATTTACATAGGAGAACAGAGTGGCGCAATGAGACAAATATGCTGAGTAAAAAAATATTAAAGAGACAATCTGTTTATTAAATAAAACTATTGTTAGAATCATAAGCCGTGATCCAACATGAAGAGTTGGGGAAAATTGCAATTAGAAGTGAAGAGATCAACCTGGGCTAAGCTTGAGTTGATAACTCGGCACCCCACAATCCCAGCCATCTGCGATTCCCACAGATTATCACAAGATCTATTTTCCGAACGAGCCAGGCTGAAAACTCGGCAAAAAAAATGGATTTGTCCGATGGGATTATTTTTTACATCTGGGTGCGTATGGCAGAAAATACGGCTAGGGATGGCAAGCGTACTGGAATGACAACTTTTCACATCAACGGTCATCTTTCTGTCTAGCCGCACATAGTGATTATGATTGTAGAACAAAATTTGAAAATTATTCCGCATGTGTTTCTTTTGAACGAATAATCGAAAAATATTTTAAGGAGAAATAACGATTATTTCTAACCTTAGGGATGAAGTATGAAAGGATGATGAATTGTGAAGAGTAATGATAAATGGAAAAATAAAAGTATCCAGGGGTGGGAATCGAACCCACAGTGTCCTGCTTACCGGGCAGATACTATGTCCACTAGATTACCCTAGTGATCATAATGCTTTGTTACGTTGAAGAAGCAGGGGTCATCTCACAGTTAAGGTGGATAAAACTACTGAATTCCAATGGAACGCTTATATTTAGAAATTAACTCTTTTTAGTATTGTTTTAATTGAATAATTATTTAATATCTAGCATATTTTCATTCTAAAATATTCCTTAAAACTTTTTTTTAAATCTGTAAATTGCTTTTCTCGAATGCACAGAATACTTTAAAATTTGATTTCATTTAACTGAATTTGCATACCAACCCCTCGTACATATATCAATTGTGTTGATATATATATATATTTTTTTATCTTTTCATCTAACTAACTTGCATACTAATTCTGTACATATTTAAAATATCTTTTTTTTCATTTCTTTTAAAATTTTTTGTTTATCCTTAAAGTGCAAGTGTCCCTGGGGAGACATAACGCTCTAAGTCGAAATAAAGAATAAAACTTAGGAAATATATAATATTAATTTTCAAATAGGAACATGTTCAGGGCTTATAAATATATTTTTAAAATCAAATAAAAAATAGGTAGCAATATTTTAAAAATATTTAAAAATTTAGAGCTTACACACACACATACATTTATTTCTATAATTAAAAAGGCATATATTGGATCAAAAAGGCATTTATTTTAATCCAATATATGCCTTTTTAATTAAAGATTTATTTATGGATTGCTTTATTTTCAAAACATTTATTTCTATCTCTCTCTAATGTAACGCTTCAATTAATTTATAAAAATTGTGTAAAATAATAATTTTAGACACATACACATATGTAAACCCTATATTTTAACAATTTTTGGCGTTATTTTTAAATTTACACTATTTTAAAATCTTCCCTTAATTTGCTTTCTATAATCGCTTTTGTTAAAAAAATAGGAAGGAGAATGCCGGGAAATTGTCTTTAAAGATAGAAAGTTTTATTAAGTTATGCTGTAATTTTACATAAAGTTAAAGCAGCTTGCTTTACATACTCCACTACGACAATGATAGAAATAATTTATATACATGGCGGTCAACTGGTCAAAACAAATAAAAGAAGAGTAGAATGTTGAAATTGATTATTCCAACACCCTCCCTCAATTTCTACATTCCCAATCCAGCAACATGTTTATCATACAAGACTCTTGGCAGACCTTTAGTAAGGATGTCGGCAACATTTTCCTGGGTTGGTATGTGAACGACCTCGATAAGACCATCGCTGCAAATGCTTCTAATATAATGCCATTTGATGTCAATGTGTTTAGTTCTGGCATGATGGACTGGATTTCTCGCCAGCTGTTGAGCGCCCTGGTTATCAGTCTTTAAAACCGTAGGTTCATTCAATAATTCACCAAATCCCATCTCATCCAACAGCGTTCTAAGATAGACTGCCTCCTTTCCCGCTTCACAAAGTGCTATGTACTCTGATTCCGTGCTCGAAAGAGCGACAGTCTGCTGCTTCTTCGATTCCCAAGCTATTGGACCTCTTGCCAAGAAGAAAACAAGTCCCGTTTGAGACTTTCTATCCGCGAGGTTTCCACCCCAATCAGCGTCGACACAACCATAAAGGGTCCCATTAGTTTTCTCGTAAGTTATTTTCAAACATAAAGTGCCCTTTAGATAGCGGAGGACTCGCTTGGCCGCATTCCAGTGCTGTCTCCTAGGATCATTGCTGAATTGTCCCAAAGCACTAACCGCATAGGCTATATCAGGCCTTGTCGACACTGAAAGATATATTAACGATCCAATCAGTGATTGGTATTCTTCCTTTTTTACTGGCTCATTCTCACCCTCTATAGATGAAATCTTTGTTAACTTGGAGTTCGAATCCATGGGTGTAGAAATCGGCTTGGCCTCCTTCATTCTATATTTCGCCAGAAGTTCTTCAATATATTTCTCTTGATCTATGGATATTGAGCCATCCTTTTCCGTTTGTATTCTTATACCCAAACAATAATTTATCTTTCCAAGATCTTTTATTTTGAATATCTTCTTCATACTTTCTTTAAAGGATATCAGCGTGTCTTTTCTTTCAGCTGCAATTATCAAATCATCAACATAGATTGCGACCAGAAGAACTCCTTCTTCTCTTTTAATGTAGACACAGTTATCAGTTTTCATCTGTTCTAGGCCCATTTCTTTTAATACTGAATCGAGCTTTGCATGCCAAGTCATTCCAGCCTGTTTCAGACCATATATAGCCTTCTTTAGTTTACATACCCTTCTTGGATATTTCTTTGACTCGAAATTTTCTGGTTGTGTCATGTAAATTTCTTCTTTGACATCACCATTCAAGAAGGCAGACTGAACATCCATTTGATGGACCAGCAAATCATATTCAACGGCCAAGGCTAAAACTGTTCTGATCGTACTGTGGCGTACAACTGGTGCAAAGGTTTCCTCATAATCAATACCGTATTTTTGGGAATAACCTTTTGCTACAAGTCGAGCCTTATACCGTTCAAGAGAACCATCACTACTATACTTTCTCCTGAATACCCATTTGCTTCCAATTACGTTTTGGCCCTTAGGGGGATCAACCAGTTCCCAAGTTTTGTTTTCAATCAATGAATCAAACTCCTCCTTCATTGCTTTCCTCCAAAAATAAGAATCTTTTCCAGACAGCGCTTCCTCTGCGTCTTTTGGATCTGGGGAGTACTTCACTTCTGAAAATTCTTGCGTGGATAAATTTGCCGTAGGATATTCCTTTCTTGGTCGGCCAGGTTTTCCCGTTCTAATATACCTTGGTCTTCCTCTTCCTCTCTGCGAGATGACTTCCATTGTTTCTGATGGTTCGCCTAAAAAATCCGAATCAGTTCCGGGCAAAGTGTTTTCATCATCCTGAAGACTTTCCTCCTCCAATGATATATCTACCTTTTTCTGTGGTATAGCTTCAATTTGCACCACGTCATTCCTAGAGGTAGAGTTTTCAGATTCGAGGAAACGTACATCTCGACTTTTTATCATCATGCCTGTTCCAGGCTTCCATAATCTGTACGCCTTTGATTCGGGAGAATAGCCAATCAGTCGGTATTCTTCACTGCGAGGAGCGAATTTTCCTCTTCTTGGACGGTTGTCAACAGCGAAACATTTACATCCAATAATTCTTAAATGAGAAACGGTTGGTTTTCTTCCTGTAAATATTTCATACGGAGTTCGACTTTCATTAGTTCTTGGGCATCTGTTTCTAATGTATGTAGATGTATGCACAAGTTCAGCCCAAAGTGGATCTGGGAGGTTCGCTTGAATTATGAAACATCTGGTCATTTCTACCAGAGTTCTGTTCGCTCTTTCAGCAACTCCATTTTGTTGCGGAGAATATTCAACTGAGAGCTGATGTCTAATTCCTTCCTCCGATAAATATTCTTTAAAATCTGAACTCAAATACTCTGCGGCATTGTCACTTCTGATTGCTTTAATTTTCTTGCCAGTTTGTTTCTCAGAAAATCTTTTAAATAGTTTAAATCCTTTGAAAATTTCACTTTTTTGTTTCATAACAAAAGTGAATATCATTCGTGAGAAATCGTCAATGAAAGTTGCGAGGTACAATGCACCGCCATATGACTTTGTTCTCATCGGTCCACATATGTCAGAATGAATAAGTTGCAGTGGCTCGGTTGACTTTGTCAGAGAGATTTCTGGGAATGGTAATCGAGTCTGTTTACCCCTAATACAAGTTTCACAACTTGTTATACTTTTAAATTCACCCTTGGGTAATCCATTAACTAAATTTTCTCTCTGCAATTTCCTAAGGTCATCAAAATTAAGACGACCAAACCTATTATGCCAAATTTCACTGCTATTTTTGTCTATACACATTCTGGTAAATTGCGTTTTTGCATATTTAGTTTGACGCAGTATGTAAAGTCCGTTTCTTTTGTAAGCTTCTATGCAAATTTTCCTCAATGGATTCACAATTTCCGCTTTTCCTCTCATAAATTTTACAAAAAATGATTTTTCTGTGCAGGTGCTGACCGAAATCAAATTTCCCTTCAGTCCTGGGACAAACAACACATTTTCTAATTTCAATAAAAATGGTTCACCATGTTCGAGAACTTCCAATTGTACCGTTCCTGTACCTAAAGCTTCTATGCTTTGGTCGTTCGCTAATTTAACGGGTATTGGCTCTGTTTCTCTTAAATCTGAAAATGCTGTTCTTAAGCAGCACATGTGTGCAGTTGCACCGCTATCCAGGCACCACTCGTTAACATCAAGAATATTTTCATCTCGAATTCCTAGAGAAGCAGCCATTCGCGTATTGTTTGTTCTAGAGTTCCTTTTTGACCAGCAGTCAGCCGCTTTGTGGCCTTTCTTGCCACAGTAATGGCAGTTAAATTTAAAATCCTTCCGAGTTGGTGGTTTAGTGGAATTGGTAGTTTTTCTTTCTGGATTTCCAAAAAATGCATTCTGTTCTCCAGACGAAGTTCCCTCCATTTCACGTTGTCTTTGATCTTCTTCTATGATCTTGACCTTTAAAGTTTCAAGTTTTGGGAGCTCATCTCTGGTTTCTATTGCAGTTCTGAATCCTTCGTACGATTCTGGAAGACTACACAACAAGAGTATAACTAAAAAGTCTTCGGGTACTTGAGCCCCAATTTCACCTAGATTGTCCACTAATGAGGTAAATTTACTCAGGTAATCTTTCAAATCATCATTAGGCCTCATTTTCATCTGTATTAGCCTTTTGGTTAGGGAAACTCTCGTCGCAGGTCCTTTAGGTCGATAAACTTCTTCTATCTTTTTCCAGGCCTCCTCGGCAGTCTTGCAATTCTTAACATGAACTAGTTCTGATGGATTCAAGCTCAATACAATTGTAGCAAGAGCCTTCTGATCCTTATTTTGCCAATTAGTAAACTCTTGGTTACCGGGTTCAGGTTTGATATTGGCTTCATTCACATAAATCCACAGATCAGAGTGAACAAGAATCATTTGCATTTGAAGCCTCCATGTCTCAAAGTTTTGCTTATTCAACTTCTCAATTTGATATAGACTGGACATGCTTAATTCTT